AGAGAGAGAGAGGAGAGGAGAGAGAGAGAGAGAGGAGAGAGAGAGAGGAGAGAGGAGAGAGAGGAGAGAGAGAGAGAGCGAGAGAGAGAGAGAGAGATGAGAGAGAGAGAGAGAGGAGAGAGAGAGAGAGAGAGAGAGAGAGAGAGAGAGAGAGAGAGAGAGAGAGAGAGAGAGAGAGAGAGAGAGAGAGAGAGAAGAGAGAGAGAGAGAGAGAAGAGAGAGAGAGAGAGAGAGAGAGAGAGAGAAGAGAGAGAGAGAGAGAGAGAGAGAGAGAGAGAGAGAGAGAGAGAGAGAGCGAGAAGGAGAGGGGAGCATAAACACACAATCAGCAGTATTTATATGGCGTTACATTAGGTACGGCCCTACAGATTCAGGTTAACACTGCTGGTTTTCCCCGCCGCCCAGACGTCGCTGTGTTTCTCAGAGCATTGACTGTCACTCGCCAGCCAGACACCTTGCACACAGCTGATGGCCTTGGCGTTGGGGTTAATCGCTTTGTTCACTGATCATCACATTTAAGCTACATTAGGCCCTGACGAATGACGTGGAATGACTCCATGCAATAGTTCAATTGACGGTAGCTAAAAATGTGTCTGAGCGCGAATTTGCACAACGTTTCCGCCGCCAAGCAGGCTTGCCGGGTGGCCGTGTCATGGTCATTCCCTCAGGTGTGTCCATATACAAAATATCAGACCAAATGTAAAAATTGTGTTTTAGCCGAATTAGGATTACATTTCCTCGAACCGCGTTGTTCAAAAGCATTGCATATTTGTTACACCTGTGTACATTTTCAAAAAGCTGAGCTCAGCTTTTTACATTTTGGAATCTCGTAACATAGGCGTAGAAACGAACAAGGAATGGCACACTTGGCCGGCAATTTTGAAGTTGAAGTCACCGTTGAACAGGAAAAATATGATGAGCTGAAGCATCTGGCATACAGCGTGACAGATTTCTTACCTTATATTTTGCGATATGATATCTTCGGTTATGTCATATAATATTGGATTCATGGTTGCAGCTTACGGTATCAGGTCCTTGGTCACATTTGGCGATATGAGATTCCTAGGTTTTGCTTTGCGATATTTGATTCATGGTCACATCTCGTGCTATTGGGTCGTGGCTACATCTTACGACACTATATTCATGGTCACATATTGTAATATTAGATTCATAGTCGCATATGGCAAAATGATATTGATGGCTGAATCTTGTGACAGGCGCATGGTCACATCTCACGAATGAAATGTGGGCAGTGGTCCAATCGTTTGCGACTTTCTGCAAACATTGGGACTTGGAGTTAAGGCCTGGCTCTGTCTGTCTGTAATCTCTGGCCGATCCTGCACCGGCGACATCAGTTTTAGCCCAACTTGCAGCATCTCAGCCTTCATCACAATACGCCTGGTGCCTTTTTAGCATCACGCTACGCTAAATGCACACGCGCCAGTGGTAAAGAATATTTTGGCTGACAATTATGGCGCCGGTGTACACATGGTTAGGTGAGGTCGATAAAACGCAAACAGCCACGTACGGAAGAAATTAAGCATCCATCCTGACTGCATTTAGTATTGATGGTCACCCGTTGGGGGAGAAAATATCGCAGATTGAGGAACCTTAACTAGGGATGAAACCAAAAACCGCATACTTGACTTTTATTTACTCCCCAACCGCATACTTTTGCGTAGGCCAGGCCCAAGCCTCCATGCATGGTGCGATGCCTAATATGGACGCCTAACTTTATGTTTGGTAGTAAAAGGTGTCAAGAGGAAAGTGTAGCAAAGCGCCCATTATGTCATTTACTGTACGTGCAGGGATGCGCTGCCAAATAAGAACGTTTGTTATAAGTTGCGTCTTTACTTAATTCGTGACGCCGAAGTCTTTTTGTATAACGTTGACTCAGCTCCCGCTGCTAATCGCAAAATTGTTAACAAAATGATTTTCAACTCGACTCTCAAAAGATATTGTTGGTTTCGGAGTCGGCTCCGTCTCCGCAGTTGTGTCACGCGGGCCTCATTCTGAGCACGCTCAAGACAAAGTTTTCGCAACGCAGGCACTGAGAGAGCATGCCAGAGAGGCGCCAGCCGGGCGGCAGCAGCGGACGCCCCTGATCTGCCAGCTCTGCCTGTCGGGGGCGCGCGGGGCTTTTTCGTATCGCGGGGCCTGATCCTGGAGCCGCCTGCCGCCGGGCATCGCCGCCCCTGCACCCGCAAGGAGCCTCGCACCTTACTAGACGATATCAAGGGTCCCATTGTGCAACTTTGCTTGCTTACCACTGTGAAACATGCTTTATGGATCAAGATTTTGGTTAATGCTTTTGGTTTGATGAAGTTGTGTGGGCGACGGATTGTATGATAACGTGCGAATGTGGTTGCGCGTTTGGCAGTGTCTTTGGGACTACATTCACTGCTGCCAACCCCTTCTGCACCCGAAAGCATGTCGGTGTATGCATGCATGCATGTATTGTAAGCCCCCTGCATGGGCTTGGCGGGAGTGCTTCGCAAACGCCGTGGTCAATGATCGCGATGTTTTAATATTGCACTCATACTACTATTGTAATTGTACCGAAGCAAACGATAAGCCACTTGTTGTGATGGCTCGTGAACAAAATGAGCATGAACGTGAGCATACACCTAGATTTGAACCTGAGCCTGAACCTGAACATGAACACGTGGATTATTCAAAAGATTCATGTGTGTTATTCAAAACTCGCATCCATGTGCTCGCTACAAGATCTAGAACGTTAGAACATGCCCAGCAGATTTCACTCGCGTAGAATGCGAGCGAAATCCGCTGTATAAAAACAGGGTCGAGAGCCTTCTTACTTCCATGCAGTCACCCCGTGGCGCTCCTGCACAAATGAGGTCTAAAGCCTCCTTCGAACCGCGAGCCTCACGGCAGAGATAACACCAGGATCTGCCGCCAAAGCGAGGCAGGTAATTTTCTGGAGTGCGGGAAGCTGGCACCGTGAGGTGGGTCAGCTTGTTCCTTCCTTGATCCCTGATTACTTGGGGAGGTCAACATGTCGAAACAGGGGCATAGCCGCCGTCGCCAGGTGGCACGCAAGGCCCCAGGAGACGGGCTTGCAGGGCCCCAGGTGGCCCCGGGAGACAATTGCCCCTGTCAGACGCCCCTCCCACTACCACTGGAGGCTTCACTAGTTCACGTATCTCAATTGCACGGTCACAGATTAGCGATGTAATGGCCGCACTCAGGGGCGCGCCCAGGCACGCGAGAGGAGGGGTGCGTGGCGGGAAGGCCACACCGCTCTGGGAGGTTCTGCAGCGGACAAGAACTACGCGAACGGGATCTTCGTGCGCGGTTCTCAGCGCTCGTGACGTGCCACTCTCCCACGATTCCCGCCCTGGGAACGCCCTTGCCCTCTGCTGTGGGTGGAAGCGAACGCCGCACTCACCACCCAGACACGTAATCGCTCCTACCCCCAGCCGCCAATGATGGCCGGCGGGGGTTGCACGTGACCCTAGCTCCGACGATTTCCATCATGGGCCGTTGCGAGTATGTAGCCTTGCTCTGCATTGGGCAGCGCGCTGGGAAAGCGGGCTGCTGGCCTGTATAAAATGGGTGCGCTTCCAGAGGGAGGCAGTCGGGTCACCACCGTCACACATACAGCACCAGCCTTACCATGCTCTGCAAGGTGAGAGGCTTGGGCAGGGAGGGCTCGAACGCCCCGTGTAGTTGGCTCTGACCCGCTGGCTCCAGGCCGTACTGAGGCTACGGTCAGCCCCGAGGATATTCCACACTGCCACGCCGCTATGGCTGCAAGACTAACACCAAATGAGTGGTTTGACATCTAAGGAGGGGTGCGCGGGGACCTTCACTGTCCGCTCTCCTCCGCTCCTTCGGAAACCTCCAGTTGCGAAAGCGGCGCGACAGTGGCGGCAGCCGTGAACAGGACAAGATCCTGCAGAGGACAGTGACTAGGGTAACATACATTTAGTTCGCCGAATGAGGTGTCCTTAAGTGCTCGTCTGGAGCAGGTACTTAAGGTAACAATGTGTTGGGCGTCTACCATACTGTTTCCGTTTGTTCAACATGCTTGTTGGCTCCACACCACTGTGGGATATGTGTTGGCTGGAATGCACCAAGTAACAATAAGTTGTTTTAACGCTGTGCACTTGCTGGTTGGAAAGCACCAAGTACCAATAAATTGCTCTTGACACAAACGCAACCATCCAACGTTAAAAAATTAACCACGTGACATGATCGCCTTGCCTATCCACTCAGCTGTTCGTTGCCGCGCTGCTGGCCACCGCCTGCCTGGCGGCGGAGAAGGCCGCTGAGGATCTCAGCAGCCAGGCGTCGTCCACCAGCTACTCCAGCAGCTCCCTCGGCAGTGTGTCGTAGTGAGTGACGTTTTGTACTAGACTTATGATCGTCTCCACTATGCGCCCCCTCGTGCTATCCGGCCCGAGGAAATCTGTCTGCTGCAACGCACGAATCAGTGCTCAGCGTTTTTTGCCGTGCTGCGCACATTTGAGATGCAGTTGGATTTGAGGTTGGGCTCTCTACCTAACGCATGTAGACCAAGACGTGTGATTTTCACTTTGTTCAACCCTGATTCTGTTTGCGATGATATGGCCGTGGGGTATCTATCTCACTTACCCCTTTGATCAGTGCTACTCCATTAACTTACTCATCCTCGGAGAACATATGACATGTAAATCAGGGGTGTTGAGTACTCTCTATGCACCAACAAGGAACACGAAGGCAAGCACACTTGCACAGTTTTGCTGTGCGGGTCAGATGCCAGAAGTAACATTGCCCCGTCTTCTTTCAGCGGAGGCCCTGCTCGCGGCAATGGCAATGGTTACAGCGGTCCGGCCAGCTCGTACGGCGCACCTCAGACCAGCTACGGCGGTCCTGCCCAGTCCTACAGTCCGTCTGGCAGCTACGGGGCGCCCGCCGCGCCCTCCTCCTCGTACGGTTCGGCTGTGACCACCTATGGCGCTCCCTCCAGCAGCTACGGTGCTCCGTCCTCCTCGTCCTACAGCGCTCCTTCCACATCCTACGGGGGTGCCTCATCCTCGTCCTACAGCGCTCCTTCCACGTCCTACGGGGGTGCCTCATCCTCGTCCTACAGCGCTCCCTCCACATCCTATGGAGGTGCCTCATCCTCGTCATACAGTGCTCCCTCTACTTCCTATGGGTCTTCGTCTTACAGCGCTCCTTCCACGTCCTACGGATCTCCGTCCTCTTCCTCCTACCGCGCTCCCTCTACGTCCTACAGATCGTCGTCTTCGTCCTACAGCGCTCCTTCCACTTCTTATGGATCTCCCTCGTCTTCCTCGTACAGCGCTCCCTCCAACAGCTACGGAGCTCCGGCTTCTTACAGAAGCCCTACGACCTCCTACCGTGCCGCCAGCTCCTCCTACAGCGCTCCTGCTGCCAGCTACAGCGCCCCTAGCTCGTCCTACGGTGGTCCTGCTGCCAGCTACAGCGCTCCTAGCTCGTCCTACGGCGCTCCTGCCGCCAGCTACAGCGCTCCTAGCTCCTCCTACGGTGCTCCTGCTGCCAGCTACAGCGCTCCCAGCTCGTCCTACGGTGCTCCTGCTGCCAGCTACAGCGCTCCCAGCTCTTCCTACGGTGCTCCTGCTGCAGGACGCGGAGGTGGCTCGTACGTTGCTCCCGTGTATCGCAGCTCCAGCAGGTCAGTAAGCTGCCACGCCTCTTCACGCAATGCTAAGTGGTTATATTTTTGATATACGATTGTGCAAAGACGTAGAGGCACATACCTTGTGAGAAAGCCTCTCGCTGGTTTATCTTGCGCCCTTTCGTTTTCCCTGCAAACACCCTGCCAGCGTCATTCCAACAATCTATCAACGGGCCTGTTTTCGTTTCCAGCTACCAGTGATGCGTCTGCGGGCATCAGTGATGCAGCAGCCCTGTTCAGCTGACTCTGAAAGACATCCCAGGTGAGGCGGCAATGCCACTCTCCTATCTGTTTGTTCTATATTTGGATTTGTTAAGTCCGGATGCTGCAAAGAGAGCATGCGACATGCGATTGAGCGGGACATGAGAGAGAGGTTAGTCTGTCGGACTTGATCTCGCGCTATGACAATACCACCATATTGATTTTAATATCCGTTAGTGACATCTTTATATTGCGTTATAATGCTAATGCTGACAATCTTGGGGCGTTCCGAAAATTCCAGTAATGAATGCTGCGCAACAGATGTCAAGCCATTCGGCACTTTGTGTATGTTTGGGTTTTGAATGCCAGCTATTTTCTAACCTTTTATATTATGTGCCTGTATTAGCGACAGTTAGGGATGATGTGTGACCTTTCTGTGCCCGCTTCAGGCATCTCCGCCCGCCACCGCTGCTCGGAGGCGCGATGGGGGAGGCCTCGCCCCGTACAAGTCGAAAAGAGACCACATCCTCCGCTCGGAAATGCAGTTCTCCGTGAACACCTTATTTATTGTAGCGTAGTATTTATTATGCATACATGCAACCGTCTGGCAAATACACCGCAGTTACACTCAATGATGGCTTTGGGAGACAGGTGCAGGATGCGAAGTCCAACAAAGAGGTCTAAAGCGGCAGCTAGCGAATGCGTCACGGTGTGCCGCGAGCTACAGGTACCCGTGTGACGTCACCAGGTACGGTGGTACGTCACCAGGTATCGGCCAGTATCGGGCGAGCCACATGGAATGAAGTGCACAGCACGACCAGAGCACACCTTGAACACAATTATATGTGATCCACAGCAAATCAGAGCGTCTGCACTAGTTTAATCCACTGCGATGCAATGTTCGTGAGCATAAGATATTGCACTATAATGCAAAAGTCGCTGCTCCGCCATGATTATTGCACTATGCAATCACACACAATAGTTTATCTTATTACTACCCTGTGTTGCAACCCGGATAGATAAACACGCGTGTCTCACAGACGAGCGCGAATGCAGGTTAGCATCGATTGAGAATGGTCGCTTCCCAGTACGCACCGATCAGTGCGCAAAAAGTCTATATCGCACCAACATCACTTGCCGTCAGTGCCCAGGCACAAACACGTTCAAATCTATGTCGATCTTATAACTCAGCTGTGGTTTCTGCACGCTGTAGATGTTCATGCAAATTCACAGTTGAGTTTAAATCATTGCACACAAAAATGTCGTGCACATAACTCGGATGCACATGTGAGTAGTTGACACAGAATGGCCGCGAGTCAGCAACAAGAGTAAATTGCGCACGTGTTTACTTCCTCCTACTGACGCCTGTCATGCGGCAAGCACGAAGAAATGTCGTCAAGGCTCGAAAAATATGAGTCAAGGTCGACCAATGAACGTTGAATCCATTTCACCGCCGCCAACCTCTATTTTTACTTGCTGCTTAGCGGCCGTTTCCATACGCTGAACTTTCCCGATTTTCCTGCACAACAAGCCAAGAAACGTCGCGACAGTGACCTTGGGGATGAGGAGCGGAATGGTTAGTTCTGTGTATGCCGGTTTTCCCCGGGGCTAGGGTGCAGGCAGATGCTGTATTCAGTGATAGGCGCTTGCTGTTCAAGTCAACCGTGAAGCGATAGTCACCCCGATCGGTCACGCAGCGCAAAAATTAATATGCGGAAACATCAAAATCGCGACGAAGTTCGCGGGAAATTCAAGGCAGTTCTGGACACGCCTCTGCCTCGGGGCTGGCTCTATGTCGGGCTGGATACCATTTTTCCAGTTAAAGTCACTCAGCACATACATGGCATCGAACATCATCATGAGCTTGAAAAAGTTCCGAGGCTCGATCATTTTTGCGTTTCTTCAGACGGTTCGGAGCTTTAAAACGTCACGTGAAACATTGGCTGCCTATCAGATAATTGCATGCTGAATAATTAGCGGCTGTATTCTGCTTTACCACTGACACTTTCCTCGTGCTTGCCGGGTCCTGCATAATCGCCGAGCCGTTTTTATCCGGGGCAGCATGCATAGTTAGGCCCATACTCCCCTGGTCCGAGCACCGAGCAGAAATCCGAACGGGCGTCCCAGTGCGGGCCAAATCTCAGCGGATAGACCGTCGGGAGCGTGTAGTTTTGCCACAACGTCATCCACTCTGCCTTATCCCTTAGTCTTGAAATAGTCATGGCTGGCCGAAAGGACTTAAATCCAAACAACCACACGACCAAGCTGAGAAGGGTTTAGTTTACCGCGTCTATATCTTATATTAAAAACGGCTGCTGGCTAATCGCAAAATTTTCCGATGGTAGCGATTCGCAAAGGCTTGCCTGCAAAATTTTGAAAACGACCTGAAGTGTTTGAAAAGACTCTTAGAGGTGAGGGACCACGGTCTCGGAGAACGTCATCTATGTCCTGCTAGCTTCCAAACCCTTCATAATCAGTCAAAACTGAAATAAAGTTTACTAAATACACATGAGACGAAAATCGTCTTATTGCAGATGTGAAGCCAGTGCTGACGGGGCGTTTTTATGTATCATGGAGTAACGCAGGTACCAAAATATATATTTGGTAACAAGCACCCGGCGTTTGATTTTGTGCGGGCTAGAGACAAACACGAAACGCCGCCGCCGACAAAAGCAGACGTAAGTGGCTGGAAGTAGGTGAACGCTAACCCCTATTCAGATGGCTGGTTTAAGGTCGTTCATTTTCAAGAATGTAAGATGCTCAAGCCCTGTTTTGTACACACCTACTTCCCAAAACGCGACGGGTATATTCCGCGAGAATAGTTCGACAGATTCTGAAACGCAGCCATAGGTCGACTAAAAGAGCAAAGCCGCAAAGTGAGACACGTATTAAAAAACACACATCAAAGTAGATGCTCGCGCAAACATGGTAAAACCGCTGTGTGTTATGCAAGCAAAGCATTTTTCATTACATAATCATACCTGCGTTTACGTAAGGGCGAAACAACATCTAACAATGAGAATCGTGTTCGACTACGGAGTTTTCCGCAACGTGGCTGCATTAAAAAATACATTTTTGAGGCGGTGAGCGCCACTGCGAGCCTCCAGCACCCAGCGACTGTCGTTTACTGGAGTTTCCCGGTCGCAAAACATCACGAGCGCTCGTAAGGTGAAGCGGCCGAATGTCACTGCAAATGCTGGCCGAAAATGCTGTCTGGGCTGTCTGAAAAACGGGCCTCGTTTCGTAACGCTAGCACGTCTGCAGTGAAGCGGTGACGGACCACGGTCGGCCGACGTGCTTCCTGGGGCATTCGTGACATGGCTTTCCCTGTGTTAGAAGGCGCGGAGGTTGTGAGGAGGTTCCTTCGCGCTTGTAGCCCCCCCCCCCTCGATCCTCCGAAGAGCGTCATGAGCGTCAAGAGCGTCATGCTGCAGTTCGTCCTGTATTTTCGACGCGACCGACACTTTTGGTGTGCACCTACTTGTACAAAAAACCGGCTGAATTCAAATCTAAAAACCCCAGACCTCGTCGGAATTTTTGATTCAAGATCGGTGGAACACAATCCTGTATCGTTAACGGTTTGTTAAACTTTAGAATCCCCGGTTCTCGGTAATGCCTTCCAGTGCATCTCTAACAGCAGCCATATTTCCACTCATCCTTTTATTTTATTCGTAATTTCGTCATCATATTTTTAATTATATATATATATATATATATATATATATATATATATATATGATTATTTTCAGGTATAGCAGTTTGTCTTTATGCTCTTAGCGCCTTTCAAGAGATAAAATTCCAGACGAACCAGTGGATTTGTCACGCTGTCTAGAGACCAGTCTCAATCCACATCAGCTGCAGTGACCAGTTTGCGACCACAGTGTAGCCTGCACCGGACGGTTGCTGTAGAATTGGTCAGAACGGGGCTGCTCTCTGGCTGCGACCTGAGGTCATCAAGGCCTTAATCAAAAGCCCGTGTGCGATGCACAGTTGATGAGAGCCATTCAGGCGCAAGTTGTCACTTAGGACATTTTACCAAGTCGGCGATAAAAATGTCTTTTTCACGCGATGCTGGGTGCCAAAAATGCTTTAGACCCACAGTTTTGTTGGCGGCCACGACACAACATTACAGCTCGCGTTTCACCATTTTACATGGGCTTCGTTGGTAATAAATTACATTTCACCACACCAGCGAGCTTTTCTGTAAATACCTCGTATCGTGCCCTACTGACCCATGGTGTCTTGATTAGGCTCTATCCCATCCCAGCGACAAAAATATCCTCTAATTTTCAGTTGGTCGCTCACTTTGGTGACAGGTTAGCGACAAATCAATTAATTGCATATGGTTCGGCCGATCGGCCGATTCGCTGTTTTTGCCAGCCGACTCTCAATGTCCCAAACTAGGCAGTAGAAAATATTGAAGATCTAGATATGGCCATTCATTTAGCCGCAAGAGCATGCTTCAACCGTTGCGATGCAACTGAGATATGTGGGGCTGGCGGTGACTTTCAATGCACTGGGGCTTTGCAAGCGGGGAGGGACTAAACGGTCGACCAAACCCGTTGACATCCCATGCCCCGAGTCTATGACACCGACTGACACGAAACCTCCACCTTGGATATCGCCACTTGGTTGATATCCTATCCTTTTCAGAACTTGGCGACCTTGAGTCAAGTGAAAGGTCAAAACGGCCCAAACCACACAATTGGCTGCAGACAACCCCATGCTCCGAGTCCATGACACTGATCACCGTGAAATCCTCACTACCACCAAAGTCGATATCCTACACTTCACAGAGCATGGCGACCTAGGGTCAGGTTTAAACTAACAAAAAACGGCCGAAACCACCTGAAATTCGTTTGCAGGCTACCCCATGCTCCCAGACTGGTCACCATGTTCTGGAAAGGAGAGCATATCGGCTATAACGCGTTAATTGGTAGAAGTGTCGTGCCAATCGGTCCAATAGGCTCATTACATGGGATTATCTGCGGACAATTTTAGTGGTTTGGGCCGTTTTGGGAAACCTTTGACCTGACTCAGGGTCATTATGTTCTGGAAGGGAGAGGATATCGACTATGGGACATTGATTGGTGAAGGTTTCATGCTAGTCGGCGTCATGGGGTCAGACCATTGCGTCGCCTGCAAACTAATTTCATGTGACTTCGACCGTTTCGATGACCTTCAACCCGAACCAAGGTCACAATGGCCTGGAAAGGATAGATCATCGGCTATGGCACATCGATCTGTTAATGTTTCATGCTGATCGGCGCCATAGGCTCGGAACGTGGGGGTTGTTTGCAAGTTCATTTTGCCGTTTTTTTTACTTTGATTACCTTCGATCTGATCTCACCATGTTCTGGACAGGAAAAGTTATCAATAAAGCTGCATCGAATGGCGAGGATTTCATGTCAGTTAGTACCACAGGTTCGTAGCATGGAAGTGTGAACAGGTTTGGTCGGCCATTTAGTCTTTCCTTTGCAAACGACATTTGGATTTCAGTTTCGTGAATACCCATGTAGGTTTATTTTTTGGGCCTTGTCGACTTCATTAATTGACAGTTGAAGGAAAGTTGGTGAGATGATCCAATAACGATAGAAACTGATTTGTGATTTTTCACGTTGACTACTCAAGAAAGGGAAGAGCAACAGAACAGGTTGTTGACTCACCGCAGCAGTCTCAAACACATCAGCTTGCTCCCTTTCAATAGCACCGTATGTTCGGCGCTAGGGCTGGTGGCACCCATCAGGAGAGGAAGTGACAAGAGGTGAAAATAGTTCTGAAGTGTCAGTTTAAGTCATTGCTG